CAATATTAGAATCATGAGATAAAACATATCATTTTGCATTTGTTCATAATAACAAATGATTGCCAGACAGACAGAGGTTATTTTATAAGTAATTTCTAGCAGTCAAAAACATGAACTAAATTAGTGGATAGTTGATGAGACAATGGACTATAAATCTATTACTTACAGTCCATTGTTTGGCGTCAATACGATGGTGAGCAGCACAGTGAAGAGATGGTTTGTCTAAAAGCGTAAGTCACGACTTGAAATAAACCTGCATCTTCCTGGGTTTTTGAATTTCATTAAAAGTCAATCATGTTCGGTAAAAGCATGACTGTGACTTTCTAAGAAAGGAGTCCTATATTAAAGTGTTGAGTTATAAAAGCTTAAAGCATTTGTTCATTCCCCAATGGTTGATTGTTAAAAGAAGGTTTCTGAAAGCTGATGGTGACTGATGAAAACATAAGGTGGGGATCACTTAAAGTCAAGTGGAATCAGGAACCTGACATTTCCGAGCAATCGGTGTGACAGAGGGGGTGATATTTCACTTTGAACCAAACTGGTTGACGGACCAGCAGGACCCTCAAGATGACGGCCCCCTGAGAACCTCCTCTGAATGGCTGATCTGCACCCCGATGTTTTATTCCCCCATCAGCGCTTCTTTCTCCCTTCTCCCCTGTGCCACCTTGCTCCCCCATCTCTATTTTCAGATGCACACATCTTCTCCACATTCCTCCCCGCTTGCTGCAGCGGCAGGGAAATCCCTTGAAGATGCCGCTCCATCAGTAATGATTTTCTGCTCAGCTGAGCAATGAAAGGTACACATGCACCCTCCCTGCCTGGCTCTCCCCAACCTCTCCTCTCTGTGCAAACCCCCATCATCTATCCCTCAATGCATCTCATTAAAGTTTTAAAGTGAAGGTAAGCCAGCACATCAGTGCGTTCCTCCATCCTCCCACTCTAACCTCGCTAAACTTCCGCAGCCCATCCCTTTCTTGCTTGTTTTCTTTGCACTTCTCAATCCTCTAATCTCAAGTTTTAGACAATGTTATACAATTAACGGCAAGGGGGGAAAAAAGCATACAGGGGACAACAATTAAAGGCTGGATATGCATCATGTTCACATTACTTTGTGTACAGAACGTGCAAGTGAAGGAGAGGAACAAAATCTAAATCGTGTGTCGAAGAAATCTTTTTTTCTATGCTTTAACATCTTAACTGTGGATATTTATTTTGATTAGTAACATGAAATAATAATGTTTATACTGCTGAATAGATGTATTTACAATGCCTCAGAAATGTGTATTTTTTAAAATAATTACAGTTTTAGTATGGGAAGGCTGATTACTACAAATAATTCATGTGATATGCAGCACAAGTCTTTATGAAAATTACTTATGATAAAAAATGCAGCCATAATTTCACTGAGACCAAACATTCTGGCTGCAAGGAGAATGATGTATTTTGTGTTCCTTCAAGGGCTGCCTCCTAATGACGCATTTCCCTCACAGCCCCCATTAATTTAACCACAAATTGTTTGAATAATTTTTTAATTATTAAAAATGCAGCTTTATTGCATTTTACTTCATTGTTATACAATATATTTCAGCAAATAAAAGCCGCTGAGAACAAAGATTTGCATATGCAGCTTTAAGTAGAATTAACTATTTATGTATTTAAAAACTAAATATAAAACACCCAACTAGAAACAAAGAAAATTGTACAACTTTAAAAAAATAAAGAATCCATTGATCCACTTGACGCAAAATGCAAAAAGTGGAGACTACTATTTCCATGCAACTTACAAATATTTTCAATTATGGTTCAATTGTATGTATTGTTTGGTAGTTTGTCTGGCTTAAATTGCATTCAAGCCAGAATGTAGATGTTGGTTTGAACAACATCTAAAATAAAATTAAATTAAACTGAGATGAATGCAGGCAGAGCATTAATTCGTCAACCATTTCTCCAAACATTTAAGTCATTTTTTTACAGGAAGAAGGATTGTATTCAAAAGCCTATAAGAAACAAAAACACTTTATCTTTTCTCTGGGTCATGTCTGTCTGCTTTTCATGCTTGTTGCTGCTGATGCTGTTTCCTTGGAAATCTCACAAAGTAACCAAATCTCCAGTTTGTCATCACCTAAATATTTCAGTGAGGATGAAGTATATACTTTAGACAGATCCACACTTTAAAAACACTGAAAATCTCTCATAAACGGACTGTCTTGTTCTAAAGTTCAGCAAAAAGGAAATTCTAAGGGTGAACCGATCACTCGGCCCCAATTTCCTTAATTTTGGGAAATCTGTGACTGGTTGATACTTAAACGTGAAGCCGATCTTATCTACTGATCTTATCTATCTCTGCAAATGTCTGAAAATCGGCCCCTGTGCTCTATTGATCTGCTGTGAGAGAGGGTTGACTGATAGACCCAGCCATCAGGTCATGACAACACATTCTCAGTGAACAATAGTCAGCCCACTGTGGCCAACTCAGCGACTTTCTCACTACATTTAGCAATGTTTCAGACAATAATACCAGTTAAAGATCAACCAGAAAACGGAAATGAGCGCACAAACAAAGAAAATTTTGATTTCTTTTGGCAAAATATACTGGTTAAAGTCACAAACAAAACATCCAAAGCTTTAAATAATTGTTTCTAAGGTTTCAAAACTGTAAGCTTTGTGTTTGAACTCAGCTTGTTTACATAGTAAATCTGACCCATTTCAGGTGTAGGGGAGGCTCACAGCTGATTAGCAAACAGTATTTTATTGGCTGTTCAGACACTTTTGTTTTAGTGTTTTGGCTAATATGTTGCAAATTCGAAGTACATTCATGGCTCATTAATATCCACATCGTTCACTTTTCATGAACATTATTTTTCCAATACAACAGTCATAAAAAATTGTTTATGTCGAAAAATTATTATGGCGAACATAATTGTAGCAGCTCTAATTTCTCGTATATAACAAAATCTCAAATGAATCCGAGAACATCAATTATCAGTAAGTACATATTTAGCTTTGAAAACCGAAACGACCAGTTTCGAGTAAATTAACTTATTTCATACTTATAGACTAAACTAAGCTTAAGGAGGAAGTTTTACATACATTGAATGTAATATACATAACTATTAGCACTTCAGTTTGAAGTCAACTGAATGTGTTCCTTAATGCCAAGCCTGAGGCTTGAAGAGAAACACAAACCTGACCTCGACAGGGGCCTTGGTAGATGAGATCAGCTCCAAATTTGCCATGAGCACCATAATATTAATCTTTTTAAGGATTAATACAGCCAGTAACAGCCAACAGCCTATCAGCAACTTGTTTCATGAAAGTGAATTCTGGCAACTGATCAATATTAACGGCACAGAAGTGAGACCTCATTATGCTGAAGGTCATGGCAGGAGGTAGATTTAGAGCAGAGGAAGATGAACAAAACTCTTGAACATTTGTGGCAGAGCAGAAACATTTGTCTAGCTGTATGACACCCCCTGAAGGCAACATGTCATTCTCACTTTCATGCTTTTAAAAAAGTTTGAAATTTAAGGCGAAAATTTGTTAAATAGTCCCTGCGACTTTCAGTGTCTACAAAGTGAAATCAGTCATTAAAATGCAAAAAAAGGCCCAGGGAAGTACTGATTTATGGCACCAAAGGGACTTTGAATGCAGCAGATAGAGACTGTATCTGGGCAGGCAGTGAGGTGCATTAATGATGAGCTGATCACCTTCTTTTTACAGTTTTCATGAGAGTGGAAATCTCTTAAACGCAGTGAGTAATGACTGAGCACAGACACATGGGGGAGGGGAACGCTTCAGCTTACTCCTATTCTTATTGCTCAAGTCATATAGTCAGCGAAAAGACAAATGTTAATATTTATCAGAACAATTATTTGTTTGAGCATGGCTGTGCACCTCTTCACATCGTCTTCTCTTTATTAGTTTTGCCTGCATGTGCATTGATCAAGCGTTTTTTAGATTTTCGTAGTATTTGGACAGCATGTTACGGGGGAGACCTGCTAATGCTAAAATACCAAGCCTTTCCACACTGCATAGGAACCCTGTACTTGGATTGATAGAAAGAAGGGGGCACAAAAACACTAGAGTATTGCAATGAATTTACACAGGCTGGCAACAGCTGATGAAAGACTTTCAAAATCCATGAAAGTAACTCGCTACGTCTGGAAGATATTACAATGCTGTTAAAATGTGCTCACGAAAGCAGCAAATGAGATGACACCATATAATTACCTGTGAAAACATGATATAGATGCTTTTACATAACATTTGTATAGCAAGCTGTTAGGCTTGTATGACAACTGTGAGCCAACATCAAGTAAAAAAAGAATGATTTAAAACATAAATAATTTGCTCTTTGCTACTGTATTCAAAGCCTTGGTTTGTGTGCTGCTGTTAGCTGATGTAAACCACACATTCACAGCTGATGTGTGTGAGATGCAACCTCTGCGCTCTGGAGCTTAAGCTCAAACTTCCATCATTACAGTCTTTTGAATGATGCATCGTAGTGCATTCACATCAGGCCACTGTATCACCCAATCCTGAATATCTTCCACCGATGCCATTTTTTTTTTCTTGCTGAAGCTTTCTCTGTGGGAATGATCACCCCTGCATCACTGCAGATGGTGTCGGTCTACATTTTTCATCACAGCTGAATATTCCTCATCAGCTGAATACTGAGCAGCAGCTCGGAGGAATAGCTGCTCTGTGCACAGCATGCATGACAGTGAGCCAAGGCAGTGATTGGCAAATATAAAAATAAAACTGAATAAATAAAACATTCCCGGCGTGGTCAAAGTGGTAAAAGTTTGCCGTTTTGCACAATTGTCAGGAACATAACATACCTCATTAACAGTTAAAGTGAATAAAAATAATATGCAAGAATTAAAATAAAGAGTGACTGGAGGACCATTAAAGAAACACTTTTTAAAAAAAACAACAACTCATCATTCTGAGAGAAAGACCTGTCTGGACAGAAGGGACAGGAAAGTGTGAGTCGTTACCATCGAAGTGCGATTTTGATGGGTGTGGTGAGACAGGAGGTGAACAGGTCAGCAGGGAGGTCCGGGTTCATGGGCAGCAGCTCGTTTGCCTCACATGCAGCCAGTTGGATGCAGTTCTTCATGGAGGGCGGAAGCGGCATCTGTGCGAGTGGGTGGCTGGGATTGATGGCCGCAACCTGAACAGACATACAACAGGTCAAAAGCTGTTTGGAGATTTATTTTGACTAGCAGAAGGGAGTTTGTGTCCATCCATCCAGAGCAGGTTTCACATTTGCAAATACATCAGGTAATCGATCTCAACGGGGAGTCTGGCTTTGAGCTCCAAAACAGCTTTTTATTCAAGCTCCTCCACCACCTGACCAGTTCTCTTAGGAAATAAACAACAGAGAGGGAAAGAAGCTGCTATACTGATGCTGATTTATTTAAAATAAATCTTGCTATTATGCGTCAGAGCGAGCATTGCTTTCAATATTACACTTTGATTTTCTGATGTTGGTTGTGATGGAAGGGGGTTGAGGCTGACATAACACATTAGTGTGAAATCACTGACTGAAAATGACAACACATGTTTTACAAAAACAACATTTTGCAAAACAAAAAATGAATGAGTACAGATATAGTCCACATAAAGGTTCACCACTAAATTGGCCCTGTGATTACATGAAGAAACGATATTATCCAGCATGTCTACTTCCAGAAAGATCTGAAAATCAGCCACTGTGAGAGAGGACTGACACACACCTGCTCAGCAGGTTATAAATACACATATGTGGTTAACAATTCTCATACAGTTAGCGAGAAAAAGAAGTAATAAATAGTTCTTTTTAATCACTTTTATCATTACCACCACAATAGTGCAAAATATAGTGATACAAATTTAAGTCCATGTTGTCCTCCCCATGAATACAACTTTTAAACGTCAGAGGAAATTCTGAAGTCTGAAAATTAAAACATTTCTGCAATAAATTTTCTTCTTTCTACACTTGTCCATGAAGCATAAAAAATACAGTCCTTTTCATAAGTTATCAGTCTGCCCTGAAAGCCTTTGTGTATCAATCTGGAAACTCATCAGTTGTTTGCAGAGAAAATTAGCAGGAAAAGGTTTCACAGAGAGAACTGAATCACTGAAATTTAGAAAAGAATCTACCGTAATCTCTGAAGCAAACAAGACAGTGTATGTGGAGTGTTCAGCACAAACGTACAACAGGTGATGGCTTCAGCACCTAGTCACCACCGACATTAGTTTGCTCTGGTGTCTTTCTTGCAAGTCGTTTGCTCTCATGAGACTCACCATCAACTTACCACTAATAATATCACGAAAACAACAATTCCCATAATCCCCTTTAACTTCCGTCAGAGCAGAAATGTATCAATAAGCAAACCCATTCTAACAAAGACTTGCAGCATTGATTATTCAACACAATCCCTGCAGACTGAAGAGTTGCTTTTAATGTTTCTAAGCTGTGTTACAGTGATGATGCATTTAGACTGAAAAACAGGAGGATGGCTAAACAAAATGCATCTCATTAAATCCAAAAACATTTGCTGTCTTAGGAGCATTTGTTAAGCGATAAAAGTTGTTTTATTTTTTCCCACTGAGGCACAAAAGGCGAGCTGAATATACTGTTGCATAAATTACATATCACAGTTTTCCATCTGGCAAAAACTTGGCCCCAGATTCTTATGAGAGAAAACAAAAGTATTTAAAGAAACAGGTGAAGTTTTCTCTGCCCCTTACTGGGCGGTCTTTGAATGGAAAACAATTGTCCTGTTTATTCTGGAAGCCAACTTATGGAGCTATTTCTACATCCTAAGTCAGGGAAGTCAATACTTGAAAATGTGAAATATGGAGGAGGAGTAACCCTAATGTAAAATTTTAATTGTACTTGGAGCTCTTGACTATTTATATGCTAATTTTACTGAAGGACTCCTGGTAAGGTTGATGGGACTTCGACATAGTTTTATGTAGAGCTGACTAGACTTTAACGAGTGCTGGATCTTAACAGAGGCAGAAAGCCAAACCCACTCTCTTCATCCCGACTGTGGTGGCACTTTTTTTCATTGTGAATCCTTATTCTGGTGAGAAATCAGTCAGAAATCCTATTCTTCCTACCAAAAATATAATTAACTGCTTGGGGATGAAAAAGCAACTTTGATTGGAAAATAAAACAACTTATGACTACAAGTAGAGGCATTGGACAATTAAACACAAATGATGGCTGATTAAGTGTAAAGCAATTAATAATGTAATTAATTAAAATAAACTGCATCATTATTAGAATTCTTACTAACAACATAACTAAAAATTTTACATGGTGTGAGTTCAGAGATTGTATTCTGTGTATCTTTAGCAGCCTGTTCTTTTCTAATCTCTGATTTCAACAAGGCATTTTTAGCCATTCTACTGCCTCTCATAGGATATTTTCAGTGTAAACTTATGAAATTATTGTGTTTAAAATTCTCAGCAGATCAGTTTCTAAAATACACATAAAAAACTGCCTTTATTTTGAAACCTGGTTTAAGTTTCAGTCGTCTAAGTCTTGATCCCCAAATACTTTAGGCTGCACTTCTGTAATATAATGTCTCAGATTAGAAAATTGGTTGATAAATTGACACTTAAGAGCATTTCTTTAAATTGAAGTACAAAATATTTGAAAGAGAGATATAAAGTGCTAAAACTCCTCTGCGTCAGTCTTTAGGGAAATCAGGCAGTCAAGGAGGAAGAGCTTTGATAATCAATAGAAAAAAGTGACAGAGTAAAGTGTTTTTGTCAATTTGTGTAAGAAAAAAAACCAATTTATTCATCCACTAATAAATCTTAAAAGTGTATGTGACAGCAATAACCAATTTTGTCAACGAAAGACTAAAATGTGTTCATCATCTCCAAGTTGACAGTCATTAAAATGAAAGTAACTTAAATATCAGAGTTAATGATAAATTTTTAGCATCTATAGAAAATGAACTAACAACAAACCCTCTTCATTTCCTGCTGAAGACACCATCCACACTCTAGTCTGCTTATTTATATAAAGAATTATAAGTGACTCCACAGAGCATTTTCTAATACCTGCATTTAAATGCAACATCGCAATTTTCCTTTCCACACTACCTTAATCCACCTATCCACCCTCATCAAATCTATAACGATGTTTCACTATGAACATCTTCATTTGCAAATCAGTCAAACCTACAAAAATCTGTCCTTCTAACCAAAAACATCCATAATTTCAAAGCGGTTGTAGGCTATTTCAGCCCTCAGTTTCCAGTGTTGCTCCTGAGCCGTAAGAACAGGTTAAAACTGGAACATTACATCAGAGGATGCATGGAAAACTCCTTTGAAGAGTGGTAATGAAGTAAACTTCATCTCCATTCAGTTAGACTTACTACTACTGCACAGGTATACACAAAGTGTTTATACCTGTGTCTGAGAGCAGAGCTGCTGTGAAACAGTCAAAGCTGAATGTATTATAGCTTAAGCTGAATGTATTATAGCTTAAAAAAAATAAAAATAAAACTTTCAGCTCATGCTGTGAAACCACTGGAGTTTTTCTCTGGAAAGCGCATGCAGAGGGATTTGTAATGCCCAACCAATAGCAACAGACTCTTGGTGAAATACAATAACAACAACAAAATAGGAGGTTTTGATACAGATACCAAAGACGGAAAGGAAACTATTTCATTTTGCTCATTCAACTGCAGTTTCCAGTAAAGCTTATTAAACTTTAAAGATATTCTTGTAATGGAGCTGCATAGATTTATATAGGAACACTTTATTGCTGTATATGCTGCTCTCTACAAGTCCAATAACTCATTAATAGATTCTGTAATAGAGGGCCAAGAAGGAGGGGGAAGCTCAGATCTCATTACATTATGTATTTAACACATAGCTGTAAGAGTGGCTCTGCACACATGAATAAATAATGATATTAAAAAGAAAAAATGTCTCAACTAATAGAGCGGTGGCAAGGTGTGCCATTGTCTTCCTTCTTGTTGCATCAAACACATTTCTCTCTCCTCTTTGAAGCATTTTGCGGGCATGTACGATTGGTGCCGCTCAGATGGATTTCCGCCAATCTTGTTACGACATAATTCCTCCTTCGGCTAATTAGGAGATCCTGCTTGCAGAGAAATAAATCACAAAGTAGTGTGTGCGTCTAATGCCTCTCGGTGCGTTAGCCTAAGAACATCATCGGGTGAAAGAAAGCGTGTCACTGCCAGCCATGATAATCCTAACGGTAAACACAACAGCACCGCCGGCACAAGCTGATTAATGCCAAGCATCCACTGTAATTATCACATTAGCATATTGTAATCTGGGAAATTACCATGAAAATCATAATGACAGCCTTCCTTTTTTTTTTTTGCTTTCTGGGGGCAATACGGCAGGATATAACTGCAGAAGACTCCTTTTTTTTCATAAATGCAATGTTAAATTACAAAACTAATTCTTCACAGGAAAAGGTTTTCAGATGTTCTCAGCAGAAGACAGCTGCCATGTGAAACGCTAATTGAGAACTACAGTTTAAGAGCTATGCATGCATTATTTATTGCAATATTACATGGGGAAAAAAAGTTGGCGTACTGGAAACAGCAAAACCACAACACACACAAACAGAAAGCAGTAGCTTTAAGAGCTGCAGTGATTCCTTCTCAACATCACACACACTTTACTCCCTACTAATGCAACAAGCATGTACGCTGAGTGCAGACAGGAAACGATGAGATTTTTAAAAGGAAGCAGGTGGCCATATGATTGTGCATTCAGTACGCATCTCTTACACACACACACACACACAGGTGAACTGCATGGTCCACATGAGGTCCATAACACAAAAATGGGAGGAGGTTATAAAACACCCCCTCCCTCTGTCATGCCTCGCTAATGTCACCCAGCACTTGATCTGCATCACAGCGTTTGAGTAAAACGGTCCCTGGTGAAGTGAAGCTTGTCGTTCTGGGCGAGGACGGAGAGCTGTCCGTTCCTCAGAGGTGTGTGGTTGGATGACTCTGCTTGGGACCAGTGATGTGCAGAACGAATGTGCTGCAACACAGAGACCATCTGTGCATGTTAAGGAGGACGATTCCCCTTACAGCAACATACTTCTTGAACTTTTTATAAATTGTGACAAAAGAGCTGCAAGCTTCAATCCGTGTTTGTCCATTTCTCAATAAATCAGAAGAAAGAAGAATTTCGATCAAAGTGAAGGGGGAATTGTATGTTTCTTTTAAGCAAACAAACAAATTCAAACAGCTTCCCTGTTCCTGGTGAGAAAAAGCATGCCAGGTACATTATGCTGCCACCACCAGGATTCACTGTGGAGAGGTATTTAGACTGATGTGTGGTGTTAATCTTCCACTAGACATTACATTCTGCATGTCTGACCAATCCCCTGTGACAAACTGCCAATCAATTTATTCATTTTGGCTTTTTTTAGGTAATGGCTTTCTTTTTTCTTTCACAGATGAAAAGTGCTTCTATAAATTCTCCCCAACTTAACCCTTGTCTTGTCTGCTATGTTTATTTTACTTACATGACGCTGTGGGCTTCACAGACCAGCAGTAATTTACAAATAAATTACTCACAGATGAATTCTTCAATAGCTTAGTGACTTTTGAAGGTTTACACTGGATTTCATTTTCTGTATTAAAGTAAGTATTCAGAAGACGCATTGATACTTTCACCAGGCTCTGTTGATCCTCTCCTGAAAGATTGGGAGCTATTTGGAAGTCACCACCTTAATGCTAATCTTCCATTACATCACCCTATGACATAATTCCTGTTAAAGAGAATGGGAAGTGCACGTACCAAACAGGAAAAGTGATATAGCGAATGGACATTATGCAACTTCCCATGCATCCAACTAAATTACTTCTTGAGCTTACTTCCTGCATAAATCCAAAAGTTGAACCTGAAAGTTTTGGGACTGGAAACTTATTATACAACAGCAGAGGAAATCTCCTTAAGGTATAGTGTTAACTGTTACGGAAAATGTAAATAGAAGTATAAAAATGATCAATCAAACATTTGCTGCCTTGTCCCATCCCAGGTTTTATGGAATCAATTTGACAAAAGCAGCACTGTAGTGTAAAGAGGAGTGCTCTCATAAATAAACTTTCAATAGCAGTGAGAGTTTTATTTCACTGCTTGCTATTAGAAAAGGCTCCCAGTCTTTTCTGTGTGGGTACAAAGCCTATTTAATTCCCCGTTTAGACTCTTTTCACATTTAAGTAGTAACATTTGTAACCCAATTAAGCCACAACTGAACAACAAAAATGTACATATTGGTGTAATTAAACAAGACGTTTTCATGTTGGCAGTGAAACAAAGGATCTTTCACTGGGTGACTCAGAGGAGCACTTTCAACCTTGGTCCCCAGGATCAATTGTTGTACATACTTTTACTGTTGTGTTTTGACATTTCCCTGCTGCCACATACCCAACCTGAACAATGTATGATCAACAAGCTCTGGATGACTTATTTACATACTGAGAACGTAATATAATCACTTAAATCAAGTGTACTGGAGCAGAGACTGATCTGAAGAAAGAGGAAGAGTCGGCTCAGAGGACTGAAATTGAAACTTACTGATCAAAATCTTAATTTTTGTATGCAAGACGACATATAGGGAAAAATTAAAAGCATGTACACATCAAGTAAGAATGTCGATATTTGTCCTCCCTCCCAGGGCTACAGCTTCGCTCTGTTCTTGCAGGCTTTTTTGGGGAGCTCTCTGTTTGTGTTTGACACATTTTACTCCAAAGAAAACGCCTTTTGAGGGAATCAAAGTGCTAATTTAGTGGAGGAAAAGGTTTTTAAAACATGTTTACCCACAATCCTCCCTTGACCTCATGAAACTCTCAGAGCACAGCGGGTTAATCTCAGGGCAAACACAGGCATTACAGCGACTCAGCAGTTTATCTGCTGCTTTCACCTTTACTTTTTAAAAGGGAATGCAGCATTCACCGAGGATCCTCTTTGCCAACTTCCAGCTCCTCTGTACATCCTCCTATTTCCTCACTGTCGTTTTTTTTTTTTTTCTGTTAATCTACAGTTTGGCAAAAACTTCTTTATGAATAATTAAAATAAATGACAGCGCCATCTCATCAAGCATTCACATTGCTAGTCTCAGCCAGAGGAGAAAAGATGAGACAACATAATAAAAAAGGTGAAGTGTTGAAAAGACTGAAGCAGTGATGGATTGCTTGAAGAGTTCCTACATATTCGTCATGTAAAAAATTCATACATTTTGAGACTCAAATTTCCCAGGAGTCAGGCGTTCTGGATGGACGGATGAATGGATGGATGGATAGATGGATGGATGGAGCTAGAGCAAGATAACAATAAAGAAACGATGCTAGGAAAAAAGGAATCACACCAGAAAGAAAGAAAGGATGATACACTTATGAAAGGGCAGGAGGAAGGAGAGGAAAGACAGATGGAAAAGAAGTAATGACATAAGAAAATGAATAAAATAGGACACAATGAAAGGAGGACAAAAAGTAAGGAAGGAAGGCAGGACAAAAATAAAGAAAGGAAGAACATAAAGGTGGAAAGCATAAGATACAGAAGAAAGAGAGACAAAAGACAGGAGGGAGGAAGAAAATGTGAAAGAAAGAAAGAAAGAATACAAAGAAGGAAAAATGGTAGGACAGAAGGGGAATTCACAAGGAAGAAAAGAAGCATTACAGGATGTGAGGTAAAGGAAGGACATATAGGAAGAAAAGAAGAACAGACATGAGGAAGGATATGAGTAACAACAGAGGGAAAGGGGGAAAAATGACTTGACAGAGGAAGACAGGACAGAGGAAAGGAAGAAGAAAGAAATGAACAAAAAAAAGACACAAGACGGGGGGAGAGAAATGAGACAAGATTGAAATTGCATTTAGTCTTTGGGAAAATATAAACTTCCTTAGACTTCCTTAACTTCTGCACAGGTCATGTGGGCTCAGTGGTAACACTCCCCATTTCTAATAACGCCTAAATACCAACACTTCATCTCGTTCTATCTGACTGCTCGCTAACTCTGTGTTTGAAAGACTCGTCTCATATTTTAAAATGTCCTCTCCTGTTAAATCTCAGCTTGTATTTCATTGCTCCTGTGAAGCAACATGTCGTAAACCATGAGCAGTTTTGCTGAAGCTCCCTCACCTCCAGCTCTTGTTCTCTCTGCAGGGCGAACTGCTTAAACGACTTGACGATAATTCCCGCGTTGGAGCAGTCGTAAACAAAAATGGACGGGCTCCCCATCCACGTCTGCAGGTCGTAGATGGACAGCGGGATGTATTGTGTGTAATTCTGAAAAGCAGAGAGGAGAGGGGTGTGAGATTTGGTGCATCGTGTTGCTGTTAAGTCACTTCTATAGATTTATACAGTGTTCAATTATTCACCAGGCATCTGCTTGATGGAAACCGCTGATTAAAGAAGCGGGAAAAGGGTTGAAAAAGTGCAAGTGATGTAAACATGGAGAGCGTAGGAAGTTTATTTTTTTTATCCAAAATTTATACCGGAAAAACACAAAATATCACCAAGTATTTTTTTATGTGTTTTCTCGTGCAAAATATTTTACTGCACTTGAAATAAGAAAAAAAAAACTTACAAGTAACTCTTCAACAAGATATATGAACTTGTATTAAATCAATAATTCCTTAATATTGATGAAAATGTGCTAATCCCACTGGCAGATTATTTCACCTGCCAGTGGAATTAGGAATAATTTACTTAAAGCGCGCTCCTATATCTTGCTGAAAAGCTAGTAAAAAGTTTCATCAAATTTCAAGTGTACTAAAATATTTGCACTACAAACTAGACCAAAAGCTCTTGGTAAGATTTTGTGTTTTTGCAGTATAACTTTACACACCACCAGCTGTTGTTTTGGTGCAACAGAGAGCACCGCAGTGCTTTAGACAAAAAAGATAAAGACGTAAAACGAGCCGGTTACTCTACATAAACTTCAATTCGAGCAAGAAGTTAATTTGTTTTAGGTGATCAATCTGTGGTTCTACTGTAGTGTTAAGAAATGCCAGGCTTCTTTAAGGGCCCATCTGCATTGTTGCCTCTGGTGTGTCTAGAAAATATCCACAGGCTCTACGGGTTCGGGTCATGGAGTTCGATGTCGATCAAGCTGTTATAACAAGTTTGCTACAGGTTTTTCCTCATATTGGATGGTCTTTACTTTCGCTTCACAATCCTCTCAGCAGCTATCCCTGCTGATTGTGCCCTTTTTTAACCACAACTTTTCCTTCCACTCAACTTTCACATTATATGTTTAGACACAACACTCTGAAAAGTCTGCTTTCTTTTTTTAATAGTCTTTTGTGTCTTTACCTGCTGGACAACTGTCGAGTCAGCAGTCTTCTCCACAATTGCTTACTTGAAATTATATTGTTTACAATGATGCAAAGTCAGAACTGAAAATCTGTCCTGTTTTTGAGCATATCATATTTTAACTTTAGGGAATTCTATTGTGAATACAGTTAAATTTTCTATTAATCCAAAACGTAAAAAAGAAAAAAAAGTATTTTAAAATTTATTCATTAAGATTTTTCAGGAAAAAACAAAACTAGTATCAAGAAAAGAGATTAAAAATTAGAAATAATTCTGTGATTATGCATCTTCAGCTTTTCTCTTTGCTTTCCTGGTCAAGGTGATGAGTTTGTTCATTTCAGGGATAAAGATCACTATCATGGAAAGATTGGCAATGCCTTTAGATTATTCCCCTTTCATACAGTTATTGACAAATTACACTTTTACTCAATGAGTCAACATGTGTAAACTTTAAAGGTAAAAGCAGGAATTCTGATGTCTTTGTGTTTTCTACCTTGTTAAAAACCCAGATTTCCCCATTGACGGTGGGCCGAGGAACTCCATGGCCGTTGTAGTGGAAGAGGACTCTCTCCTCTTTGGCGTTACGTCTCAGTGATGTGCAAAGTTTCTTCACTTCGTCCACTGTGGGGTCCAGACTCTGTTTGTAGCGTGCCTGAAAAGCATAACAACAAACACATCAGGATAATTATGGCCACCTTAATTTTAATACGGTTACCATCTAATCAGGCCCTAACACAAGATCACACACAAATCAAAGGTCAAAACTATAAGAAGCAAAATGGCACATTGCTGCATCTCCTCAAATCACCAAATAAGCTTCTGAATATACGAGTAAATAAGTGTTTTTGTCACCGTCTGTATGTAGCCTGCCTGTTTTCTCGACCACCTATTGCGATTTTCATCTCCGACTCCACCGCTCTGAAGTCACAAAGCGTGAAGTTCATAGCAGCATTCGGCGTGACTAATCCGAGGAGATTTTACAGCCTGAGACCAGGGGAGTGTGTATTGTTTTTGGTTTTCACCAAATCAAGGGCTGGAGTGTGCAAAGCTGAAAGTGACATAGAGGTGTCAGCATCTAGTTATGTAACAGAAAAGCTCCTCTTCTGACTGCTCTGAATCATTGTGGAGCTCAACGAAGCCCTTTTGTTGCGCAACTAACTTGGCTTTAACTAAACAGCCTGCCTCCTGTTGACTGGAAGTGAATCATAGCAGACATTTTAATGTCGACTCATCTCCCAAGAACCATCCAGCCAATATCGCTTATAAAAGCAGCAAGCTGACCTTGTGAACCAACAGTTTTACTTAGCTATCTAACACAACCATCACTTTGCTCAGAACAATAACTCCCCTCCGTTTTCCTGGACAAAAGAGGTTATCACATGCATCTTGCAAATATATTTTTTCTTGCCCTACTATTGTACCATTTCTACAATGATTTAGGCGAAAAAGAAAAGTAAATGTTTAATGAAATCTATTTCTCTCATCCACCAAAAAACAACAACAAAAAAAAAACATTTAATTATGACAAAAATAAAAACAGATTCTTTCTGCTTTTAGATTCACTTTTATTTAAAATATGTTGCAGGCAGAAAACATTTCTGGGGCTTTGATTTCTTTTCTTTTTTTGTTTTCTTTCATCTGTTAGTCCACTATTGTTAAGGTCTGTTGCAAGTTTCTTTCAGATAAAGCTTTCTACTCAAAGCTCAAATGAAAAACACGAAAACTCATCTATAGATTATGAATTCTGACAATATGGAAACCTTTGAAATAGAACTTTCTTGAAAAATATTTCACACAGCATTAAGATTGCTTGCGTAGAAGTCTTACCAGCACATAACATCAACTTGTTAATATTTGCCCACTCAACAGTGCAAATAATATTTTCATTGTAGAGTGCAAAAGATTATTTGTTCCCCACCATGGTCATCCTATTGTGAGGAAATATAGTGTTTGTGGATGTGGATTATGCTTGGACTCAATAGGCTGAAAAATAAAAACCCTCTTCATATTTAGCTTTCCGAAAACTTTTGGTCATCTAAATATTCAGAGTAAAACCTAGCTGGTGTTGGACTAGATAAAAACTTAATCTAATTTGAGAAAATGAAAAACATAAAAGGTGATAAAAGTTTAAATCGATGTGTAAAGCCACTTTTATATAAAAACAGGAGTGTGAGCAGGTGCAATATCCTTATACATGTTTATCTGATGATCCAGTAATTGAAAGGTGCAGTAAATATTTACAATTCAACTTAAAAATGTTTATACACAGATGAGGATTTTAAAAATTATAATTAATAGGTGGATAAAACATGTTTATTTCATTCTAAAAATCCTGCAATGGTCTAACCACGTCACACTGCTCTATGAAATTAAGCAATGAGGAATCTATGGTACAAGCAGGAAAGAAACCAGGAGAAGAAAGATTCTGTTTTACAATGGTTACTTGAATACAAATAAATAATTGTGAAGTGTGGCTAATGAGCACCTAATGACGATTTATTTTGAAGTTTTTCTTCTTCAAAACTTTCCCAAACGAGAATTGTAGAACATTTTAATAATGTTCAAATATTCAAATGATCAAATATTTGATGACTAAGTGATTCTGGATATTGTATTCCTACCTATATCTTGTGTTTTGTGAATTACTGAACCAGAACACTCACAGTTTGTCGCATCACATAAAATACAGTGGCCAAGCTGAGTAGACCTTTATTGAAGACGCCAATATTCCTGATTCGGATGTCTGGAGGAGGACGAACAGAAGAATCATGGCGGAACTAGCAGGATAATTTAATTTGTGCAATATTGGATAAAAGCGTCTGAATTCCAACAGGCCCGACATTAATCTCTGTGGTATCAAGTGGTATCTGAAGGGCATAATGGTGTTACAGTGAGTGATGAAGGCAGGGTATCTGAATCACAGGCATATATGATAAAGGTATGGCAGTATCAATTAAGAGTAAGACATAAAAAGGTAAATAAGAACTAAATGAAAGAAATTAAACAAGTGAAGAAAAAAAAACAGAGGAGAATCTGACATACAGAAGACGAAACTGCTGCGATGGTTCACCTGGAAGTTCGGTGGATGTCAGAGAAATCTTTTCGTATTGTTTTCTTTCTCTTTTAGTCCACAAACTATTGTCATTCTTTCTTCCTTGTCGGCCATGATTGTTTATTCTGAACTATTGCCTGATCTCAAAAGATTTTGTAAGATCTGAATGTTTGTTGCTATATCCCAAATAGACGACAGCCAACTTGTTATATTGCAAATTTGGTCTGTTTTTTTTTTTTTTCCTGTCATGTGCGGTGTCTCCCAGGTTTTGAAAATCAGCTGACAACTAGATTGTCATCCATTCGGCCATTTAATGCCAACGATGTCGAATCAAGAAAGCATTGAAGAAGGAAAAGAAAAAGCAATACATGCCTTGATTTAAAGAAATGTGGGCAGAGAGAAATAAACTCATCAACACATTAGAACTAAAATAACTCTGTGGCCAAGATAATGAAATTGTGATCTGAAAGCTGTGTTGGTATCAACTCAGGTTTGTTTCAGACATTAAATTTGTTTGATTAAAACAGTTAAGACATTTTTTTCCTAAGTAAAATTAGTTTGTGAAGTGAATAATCAACTGACACCACAACTTTGCCAAACAAACAAACAAAAAAACACACGGTAATACTTTTGCCACTGATGGTGAAATAAAATTTACAAATTTAATTAGCTGATTCGTTTTTAGTTGATTCAGCACCTGATCCCTCAGAGTGACGAAGACGCAAAGCCACTTTTGTGCTGCCTAGTTGCCATTGTCACCTTTAGCAGTGCACTGTTGTATATTCCACTTTTCTTTTACCCAGAATAGTTTCGCACCATGTCATCATGATGACTGTATCTCTGGTTCTTGACATGCTGTACAGCCCCTACCTTTCCAAGTCATTGTGTGAGTTTTCTGTTTCTGTCTTCAGCGGAAACACAAGTATGTTTTGTTGTAATTGTGAAAATCAAATTGGCTAGATTTTTGGAGGTTCTGTACCTTTTGTATGGTACAACTAAAGTGATTTGCATGAAAAAATTTCAGAACATTTAAACATCTATAGTAAATAGTTCAGTCTGGAATTGTTTTTCAGTCCCAGATTCAATCTGATTCTACATATTTCCTCATAAATATTTCAGTCTGTAATCATATTTTATTGACTAAATACTGGTGTCTTGAGACAAATCAGTACAAAAAATTAAATCAGTCCTGGTTGTAAGATTTTGACGTAAAATGTATGTGACGCATTAAAATACCAGAACTAGCTTGGTTTGTGTATCTGGTAGTAGTTTGTAACAAATAGAGGAGTTTCCAGAAATCAGCTATTTGATTTATTTGTCTGTGTTTCTTTGGTGCTTTCACTTTCAGACAAGCTGTTTGTTCCCAGGTGATTGAGGGGTCAGTGGTTGACTTTACTCATTTCCTCCCTCTGACACATTCACTTTTCACTGTCATTAAGGGTAACCTGTACAACAGTTCCCCCAATGTATTTAGCTTGGCTACATAAAAGTGTGATAACTTAAATAAAGGTAACATCAAACTAAATTCTATAGTTATAATTGCATTTTTAAGTATGCAATTTCTATTTCATACTTTATTATCGAAAGTATTTGTAATTTTTTTGATGTACATGGTTTCTCTGCATGAATAATTAAATAAACGAGCTTATGACATTTTTTTTTGTTTTTTTTTTATCAGTGTATCTGTGACAAAAAGTTCACCTTGCATCCTTCAGCATAACAGTCGGGGTTTAATTGCATCCTGAATGCTTGTAGTGCTTTGTAAAGGTCACCTGTTCTCAGCTAGTGACATGATGACAAATGGCACCTGAGATGATACAGGGCACACCTTTAAAACTATTTCCTGTGTGGTGTTATGTAATGGTGTTGTTTTACAGCAGTGCAACATAAAACACTGACAGTTTGCCTCCTTTAGAGGCAGAAGCTCCCACTAAAGATCTGCATCGCTCATAGTTCGCTTTCACCTCTTGTGGTCAAATTTTGTGGACAGAGAAGAAAGGGAGTGTGTGAGCAAGGCACCCCATAAAAATAACTCGGTAACATTAGATCTGTGACTACTGTTGTGATAAACTTATCGAATCATACCTAAAGCATTTGATCTATGTCATACAGTCTAAATGCAACGGAATCAAATGCTAAAGAAATGTATGAAAGTTTTAGCTTTTGAAGAGCAGAAATAATTGGTAATACTAACTGACCTGAGACAGTAAAAGTTCAATCTGACTGAATGTCATGTCTACTACAGTGCATGTAATTATTGGGTTGTAAATGTTTTGGGGTTTTTTTCCCTGAATAAATCTTTTTTTTTCTTAAGGGTTGACAAACAGGGCCCTGTGAGTTCACAGTAAAATGTGAAAACAGCAAACTAACATCGCTGATGAAAACCAACCTGAGACCTGACTAGGAAGAGGTTTGAACAAAAATAAATGAAGGACACTTCATTTATTTCAATTTTGTTAAATTCCTTTGAGAAAGAACAGCCAAACAGAGTTGATAGTCATTTCCCTGGTGACAGCAGTCCTGCTGAGGCCAGTGTGTCCAGGCTGACTCAGTTCACAGCAGGTCTTTTGGAGGAGAGGGTGAGATGACACGTCACCATC